AATATAACATTAATCCAAAAATCCAAATCAACTTTGTATGGTCAAAGAAATAAAACTGAGTGAAAGAAAAGGTACTAGTATAAAAATTATATTTTCTAAACAATTCTTCAAAATCAAGAAAGAGTACTAGTATAATTTAAATTTATATGTTCTAAACAATTCTTTCAAAAACTATTTATTTCAGCTGGAATAGCAGGTCCTTTTATATATTTTTCAGATACAAAAATTACTATAGTATTACTATCTAACACTATTTAATATACAAGATATAATTAAAGTATTATAATATAAATAATTATAGATGGATTATGTTTAAGTACATTGAAAAATATCAAAGAATGTTGAAGAATATCAGAGTACATGAAAGGATGTTAAAAGACATGAAAAGATGTGAAAAGTTATAGAAAGATATTGAAAGATGTGAAAAGATATGAAAGAACATAAGAGAATGTCAAAGAATATTAAAGAACGTGAAAAGATATTTGAGATCATTATCCAAGTATAACTATTTTATCAAAATTAAAAATAACCTTCCACTATACTATTCTACTATGTATATGAATATTATAATATAAAATAATAAAAATATAGATTCTGAATATTAAATAAAATAGAAACATGATAATAAATGATATAGAAAATAGGGATAATTATAAAATAAATAAAATTATAATAAAATGTAATATTTCATAACTAGAGAAAGATTAAGGAATTAAAAAATTTTATGTCACTATGATAATAATATAAATTATTATTATATTATTTAATAAATAATTTTTATACTATATTTTATTATTTTAAATTACTTATTTCTTAATAAAATTATAGAATAATTTAATTATTTTATATTATACTCTAGAAAATTATAACTTTTAAATTATTATTCTTTAATTTTAAATTAATTTTTATTATTAAAAAATTTTTATTAGAATATTTAAATTAATCAGAAAGTTTATTAAAAAAATAATTATAAATAAAGATAATTATAAATAAAAATAATTATAAAAAAATATAATTATAAAGAGATTTAACTATATTTTTTATATAAATTAGAATAATTATCTTTAAAATTCATTTTATAAAATAGAAATTAGTATAATTTTTTATATTTTTTAATTTAAATTAAATTTTTTAATTTATTTTATAAACTTATTATTTTTTATAATATTTAAAATTATATAATAAATAAAAACTTGAATGTATATTATTTATAATATTTATTTTTAATAAATAATAATAATTTTATCTTTTAAATTAGTTTAATTATATTATATTATAATAATATCTTCAAAATTTTCTTTGATAATTTGTAATTTTTTTTAATTAAAAATATTATTCACTTTAATAACTTTAAAATTATATAATTATTTATTTAATCTTGATTTATTATAAAACTTAATTAAAATTATATAATTTTTATTATTTAAATATTAAAAATATAAATAAAATTTTTAATTATCCTAATGATTTAAATTATTTTATTTTTATTTTAATAAAGATTAATTAATAATAATTAAATTTATTTTTAATTATTATTTTATTTATAATTATTATAAATATTTTTACTATTTTAAGTATTATTTTATTTATATTATTATTTATTTTGAACTTCAAGTTAAATTAATTATTTAAATTATTATTAATCTTATTATATAAATATAAAATTATTTATTTAAGCTATAAAAAAATTATTATAATTTTTCAAAAGTTAAGTTATTTTTAAAAGAAGTTATTTTTCTATTTTTTAATTAAAATTATATATAAAAAGTATATATAAATATTAATAAATATAACTAAGTTATTCTATTTTTTAATTTTTAAAAATTATGAAAAAAATAATAACTTATTTTTAGAAAAATATGATATAAAAATAAAATATAAAATTTATAAGTAAAAAATAAAATAGAAAATAAAAAATTATATAAAGTTTTGTTTTTATTATTATAAAAATAGAAAAAATTTAAGAAATTATATTATAATAAGAAGTAAAATAAAATAAAAATATAAAATAAAAAAATAAAAATATAAATTAAAAATAAGAAAGAAATAAAAAAAGAATTAATTAATATATAAAAAATAAATTTAAATAAAATTAATAATAAATTTATTTAAATATAAAATTTTATTATTTTATAATAAAAATACTTTATTTTAATTTAGAATAAAATTAAATTTAAATAATAAATTAAATAATAAAAAATATTATTTTATAATTAAATAATCTTAAATTTAATTTAAATATTTAATATTTTAAAATTAAAATTAAAATAATATTTATTGTACTTATCTTAATTTATAATTTAAATTAATTAATTATAATAATTCTTTAATTTTAAGTTTAAATTAATTAATTATATAAATAACTTTTAACAATTACTTAATATTATATTAAATATTTAATATTTTATTTTTTATTATTAAAATCTTGTATTATTAAAAAAATATTATTTCTAATCAAATATTTTTCTAATTCTTAGTTATTATCTTTAATTATATAAAATATTTACTAAATTAAGAAATCAAATATATATTAATTATCTTAATAAGAGAATAATATAATAATAATATAAAAATAAAGTTATAATATAATATAATATAGATATTAAAAAAATATAATAATAATATTAAAGAGATAGAGCAGAAGGACAAAGAAAAGTCGATCTTTATTACTAAATTGCAACACGATGTCTCATTAATCAAGGAACAGAGCATGCAAGGTAAGAACATGGAGTGTCATCAAACTGTCACTGATACACAAAATGCACTTTCTACGAAAGACGTTTCATAATCTTCGGTAAATTCTGATGATACACCTGATCAGACAGTCTCACAATGCAAGGATACCCTGATATCTGATAAAATTTCAAATTCCGATGTATCCGATAACGCTCCAAATTCTGATGTATATCAAGAGTCTTCGCATATTTGCACAAAGCCCATATTATTAGAAGACAAGAAGGTCGATGAATTCCTGGATTCAACATATAAAGAAAAAGTTGGTAAAGAGATAATTCAGAGCATTAGGGAGAAGAAGCTTTGAGATCAAGAGAAAATCATCATAACTTCCCAGGATACTAATTCTCCTTTGAATATAAAAGGCGGGCAGGGGTTGATCCAAGAATTATTTACTCCAGAGCCGTCTCTACTAGAATCGCAAATAATTCAAAACCACGTGATTGAAATTTCTGAGACCGGCGATCTCGGAAAACCTAACATTGACGAAGCATCTCAATATCTAGCTAAGCTATGTGATAAAGCTTTTGATGCTGAGGATGGTGCAAATAGAGCTAACCAAGAAGAAATCTTATGTTGGTCTATCTATGGAAAAGATTTCAGGGTTCAGTTTAATGAGATTATAAAAAATAGCGAAGGTAAAATTGGTGAAAAGAAGGCGAGAAGCTTACTTTATGATTCCATTACGAAACAGTTTCTATTATCCGTAAAACAAGATCTCGAGAATTGGATTTACATCTTCCAGAAATATCGCGGGATGCCTTGCGCAAAAAAACTCAGAGAACTGAGAAAATTTATATATTATTCGAAAAAATAGGCCATGATAAAATCAAATATATCAAATCATATAGTGCGAATTCCATTTCAAAGCTTACTAATGATCAAATTCAAGAGATTATAAATTATTCTAGTCAGAATGTCAATATAGATGATACAAGACATCAAATCCCACCTGTTGAAATTTCCGAGAACGGCGGTCGCGGAAAAATCTTACCTGAAGTAAGTGAATCAACCGCAACCCCTATCCCAACATCTCCATCATATCATAAGTCTAATTTGGTAGATGAGGTAAGTAATGAAGTTAACTCTTTACCAGATGTTGAGATATGCGAAGAGATTGAAAAAACTTTACTAGAGGTGAGTAATGATTGAGATTCCGATTCATCAGAAGTCAAGATACAGGTAAGTGCGCCCGATGACTCACGGGATGGGGATGCTATCGCATCTGAAGATTCTAACTATGAATATGATTTTGAAGATCCCTTCGATAACAACGAAGATGACTCACGGAGTGAGGATGTTAATTCGTCTAAAGATGATGATGGGTTTTGCGGTTTCTCTGATGATGATGAAGGTAATTATTACGATTTAAACACCGGTGAAACTTATACAAAATCGGAACATCGTTATTCAATCCGCGCATATTAATAATGATTCCAGCACATATTATTCGTGCAATCTAATTTTTATCACATAAAGACTAGAAATATGTTTTAATTTTAAATATATTTTTTGTTGACCACTAATTTCGGACATAATGCTAACCTTATTTTTAGCACCTTGTACTAGCTCCGCTAAACTTCATAATCATTTGTGGATCAATGCGATAATCCCCTAAGCGATCCATTCATTCTTAGTCTGTGGATGATTTGCATAATTGTCTTCGATTACGCAGTGCAACGTCGAAACTTAAAAATAGATGCTATTAATAATCAAAGAAATGCTAATAATACCTGATTACGTTTACTGTCAAGTTAAAAAATTGTTCTGGTATCTTCTCCACCTTTACGTGAAATAAATGATGATCGAAACGTAACCCTATAAAAAGATGCTGTCTTCTGCAAAACTAACGTGACATTTAACAAAGGCCTTACAAAAACAAACTCATCGATCTTAGTTTCACTCACCTTAAATCAAAGGAATCCGCACGTCCCCACAATTAAATTTCTAATCGGAATTTCTTTGCATAAATGCGTCCATTCATCGTTTTGGAAAATATGCCTTTTATGGCTGTGACCGCTACTTTCTTTTTCGTCGTTACAAAGATGACTCCCGAAAATATCCATTTGTATATAGGGTTCATCACCATGTGGTTCTTCTTGTGGGACGTAAAGCGAAAAAAGCCGATGAAACAAACTCTCGTGAAACCAAGATCAACACTACTATCGCTGAACAAATCGGCAAGATCAAAGCCGAAATTAATAATGATCTTACCACAAAAATGAGTTCCCGTGATACTAACTATGCAACGAAGGCACAGAATATCATTAATATGATAAATGGAAAATATAACGAAATCGAGCGAGTTCTGTTGCAGAGCAACGCTACTTCCGTAGCAGAAACCTACCAAAATAATTTTAGTCGAATCAACACTGATTTCGAATTGGTCGGCAGGATGATTACAACGCTCCAAAGCGAAATCAATCAACGACACTCCCTTGTTCAGAGTGCTAATGGGGATCTAACCAGCAAAGCGAGGCATCATTATCTTCCGCTCATTTATCAAATTCCTCAGATTCAAGTCAAAGATTTGCAAATATCATCTCTATAATCCGGGAACAATTTTCGACCATCTTTGATAGGGTTAAAGTTGCGAGGGATTATTCTTTAGATCAGATGTGTGCTACTGTATTGTATCGGATGATATTCTTAAACTTGGGATGGAATCAATTGGAAAAGATACAATAAAGGGTTTTTACCGTGGGGAAAATATAAAAAGCGAAAACTTGGAAAAGATAGATGCTTTGATAGATAATCATTTAATCTTTGAGTAGCAGGGAAAGAACTGTTATTATATGAGTTAAGGCTCGGCAAGCTAAACAAGCAGGTGTGTTTTTTATGCCTTTCCTCCCTCGAAACATCCTGCTACTCTATTATTTTTTACTTTGATTTTTAGACGGCCGGCCTTAAAGAAGATCTTGATTCTATTCGAAAAGGTGTAAAGCGGGTGTTGGGTGTCATCGTGGGTTTATTAAAAGATCGAATTAGTGTGGATAACTCCCAGCCAGTTAGAGATCGAAGATTAAGAAATTCACAAAGTAATGGTTAGAATTTCCATTCACATGTACACAATAATGGCCGTGTTATTTTTATTTGTATCAATAAAGCAGACCAAGAAGGTCATTTTTCCTATATTAAAGGTAGTAAAGATATTTTCATTTGGGATCATCACTCTGAGATGTGCAATTCCATTTCATATATATGCTAATTTTGGTTCATTTATACCTGATCATATATGTTATTAATATGTCTCTTTCCAGCCTTAAAGCCCTTGCGTATAATATCCTAAAACGAACAGAAGAAAGCATAAATCAAGATGTAGAAATTCCAGAGCCACCTCAATGCTCAGAATGTAAAAAAAATTCTATCTATTGCATACGAATCATTCACTGCGCTCGCTTGTGGGCATATCTTTCATAGACTCTGTATCGAGAAAAAAAATTCTGCTTACCATACCAAACACATGTCCCTTTCTTAAGTGTAGAAAAAATGTCAAGCTTATTGATGGGACTCCAAAACAATCTTCTCAGTCTAGTGTGACTTCTCCTTTAGTTGATGAATTTACCCGTAATGTTAAAATTAATTCGTCACGAACTTTCTCCCAGGGTCAACCAATGGAACTAGATGAAAATGAAGAAATGGAGCATCGAGTTGAAAATCCACCCATCCTACCACAAAAACGTGTTAACGAACCTACCTCTATGGCGAGTTCCTCCAATAAAAAGATTAAGAAGCCGGTCAATAGAGAAGAATCGCCAAAACTGAAAAAGGTTATTGATGAATTGTTATCCAGTGATTTCTCCAAAGAAAATGCTAATGATTATTTATATTTTTTTAAAAAGATCGATTATTCCGAATCTAAATATCTAGTTAGTAATAGAGAAGTTATTAGTAGCCATTTTGACTTTGGAGGGATTTTATATAACCGATATAGGGATTTAAAAAAAATAATGGTAAGGAAGGAGCTAATGCTCTAGTTTTTGATGAAGTTAGGAATCAAATTCCTGGGGAAGTGACTGATGGTTCCTTGAGGAAAAGAATGGAGAGAGCCCGAAAAATCTATAGACTTTTCACTGCTATTGTTAAAGGGGATGAGAAGTTAGCAAAACAAAAAATAGCGTTAATCAGATCGTTTTCGGTATATTCCATTTCAACCTTAAGTCGAGATGATATTGATTTTGTAATCGTAAAATGTTTGAAGACAACGAAGTGAATTATTGCGCCACATTACTGCGCCCTTGTGACTGCCATGTCGTGGAAAACCATAAATAAAAGTTTTTTACTACTTGCGATTTGTACTGCGTCAAATATTCAGCATGAGCCAGCATAAAATGCCGAAAATGTTCACTTTACCCACATCGAGTTAACCGTGTATGTATGCGATTATGATGTGCATCGGAAAAAAATACATGAATTATCCGTGTTATGAGTTGTATATATAAAATGGCCAAAATTGCGGATCTCGAAAAATGCTGTGGCTTTTGGTTTGAGTCACGTACTAACTAAAATCCGAAGCGCGATCCGGATATCAGCGAGTCGAGTGCCGTGATTGCTTGGGTCTGTGATTTTTTATATTCATCGAGAAAAATAAAACCTGTAATTATAGAAATGACTAAAAGACCTCACTCGCTTTTATCCTTGCCAATGCCGTTAAAAAATCAGATCTTTCTGGCCCTTTTAAAGAGTGATCAATGAAATGCGCGACTGTTTCGTGTGCAACATAATGGGATGGGTCAGCTTTATTAATGACAAAATTATACATATAAAAATATGATCGATCTTTAACAAATCACCTGATTTAATAAAGGTAAATTGCTTATCTCTTTCAAGATATTTTTAATAACTTTTTCGCTCTTTAAGCTCTAAAACTATTACTGAATAAACTTTTACATAAGGCTACACTACTAAATAATCACAAATTTTTTTTACATGATCATACTAAAAAAAACCTATTTGCTTAAAAAACTAATATCTTCCCGAAATCTCTTTTGCGTACTCTCACCTTATTAAGTATTCAAACGGCATCTGCTGAGGTTGAGCATTAGGGTCGAAGAACAAAAAACGAATCATCTTCCCCGAAATCGCTTTTGCGTATTCCCACCTTATTAAGTATCCAAGCGGTACCAATCGGCATCTGTTGAGGTTGAGCATTAGGGTCGAAGAACGCATTGGGGTGAAGTTTACGAATGTTTCTACGTACAGTGTAGAGCTCAGTTACGGTTGCAAAGTGGAATACACAGAGCGAATTCTCATCTCTGCGATTATTTTGTTGTTGGAGATCGTTGGTCGCAAATGCATTCATCACCGCCTGGTAAGTTTGCAACGTATGTTGATTTATCCAGTTGTGATTTGGCGAAATGATGAGCACAGGATCAAAATCGTCCACCTTATCAAGTTGGTTTTCGTATTTTCCAATATCTTCGTCGGAGGCTTGCGGAAAAATTGTTTCAAGAGCCTCTCGAGTGGATACGAACATTCTAAAAATAACGTGGAGAAGATTAATCCTTCATTAACTGCAGTGGCTTGGATAACATTATACCTACTCGTTTACGTTATTTCCTGGATAAGTTGCTATGTGAAAAATATCAGATTATCAGTTATATAATGACACGTGAAATCTAATTTCTTTGATTTATACGTATACGTATACAGTCAAAGCTCTTTATAATAAAGTTAAATTTGAATTTTTTATAAAAAAAAATATAATAAAACCCATTCGTTATAATAAATTTAATAGTAATTCGATATAATAAACTATTTTTCCACTAATTAACAACAAATTTACTACGTATAAAGAGTTTTGACTGTACGTATTTCAATACTCACTTTTCCACAACTGAATGATACCGAATGCATTAGAAATAATTAAGACAAGGAAGACGAATGGCAGAGCCTAGAGAATGTGGTATGGGTGGAAATGGAAACAAGTTAGGGAGGCGACAGAGGTTAAAAAAGTTGGCAGAGTTGCGAAAACATGTCATACAGACCAGCCAATCGAGAAATGCGCACACTGGAAGTATCACGACATAAGTAAACAAGGTAAACCATTTAATAGGCGACAAGAGTGACTGACATGAATGAAATAATTTGTTGGATAACTTTTCGCAAAAACATAGTTTTGGAAACTGAGTTATTTTGAGAGAGATGGCAAGCTTAAAATCTCGAATGTGAAGAGAGAAACCTTTATACACGTTTTCTGAGATAACAAATAAGTGAGTCAATCATATTACTTGTTAAGTGATGTCATTTATCAAGGGAAATGACTCTCCTACTAAAAATGCGATTTTACTAATCAATAATCCCTAACTTCTTGAGTTTTTCTGGAATTACTATGTATGGATAAATCCTCTTGATGCCAAACGTATCTCAATTCTCTTCACAGAGTTAATTCCCTCTTATCCAGCGCTTGTTTATCATAATAAAACTCTAGGATCTCCTCCATGAAAGAATTCAATTTATTTTTATGCCGTTTACCTTAGTTGCAATTAAAATAACCATAGGCTACTTTGTATCCCGCATAATGTACATGTAGCTCCGAATTTTTACACTCAGATAGTGGTTGATAAAAATAATGCTCGATTATGGGTTACATCACGGTTGATTAAAAAAGCGATGCTGAGGATTACAAGTTATATCTACTCTATCGGGTATAGGAAGTCTACTTATGATATAGTAGCGATTAATTTTTTTTAGTATAATAAAGTTTTCGAATAAACTTTGTCTGCGTTTAAGCCTTGTCTTTTTAACTCGTCTATGCATGAATGTGGGTGTATAATATACATCGGAATACTTTATTGTATGGATATCAATGTGTACTAACTCATAAATCGAAATTTGAATAGATCTATGCCTTACATAAATAATACAGAAGACAGGCTATGGAAGAGAACACTGAACTCAAGAGCAGAATAGATGAGTTGGAGAAAAATAGGACAGACATTGTTGCCAAGAACGCTGAATTTAGAGCTAGAGTTATGAAATTAGAACAGGATATAGATGAACTTAAAAAAGAATTAGAATCTAAGAAAAATCACAAATTTCAGGAAAAATATATTCTAATAGTCCAGATACTTCTTAATGAGGAACCTGTGGTTGAATATCGGCCATCTTTTATGAAGGAATTAGAACTTGATGCCTTCTTCCAAAGTAATAGAATCGCGTAAGGGTCTCAACATCGACTCCATAATACCAGCTGGCACAAAGATGTTAAAAAACTCGAGGATATTGTTAATCGTGATTGAAAGAAAAGAATCCTGTGTCAAGTTAACAGGATTTATCTTCTTGAGATATGATATGATGAGAATCCAAAAGTCAGTATTCCTAAGAAGATATATAAATTTAGAGAGTTTATTGATAGAAAGATCTTTATTCTTAATTAACCTTATAAATATCTGTAATTGAATACAATGACTTAACATCAAACTAAATATAGAGATTATTTTGATTCTTTAGAAATATATTTGATATGTAATAAAGATTATAAAAAAGAAAATATAAGAAATAATATAAAAGATATGTGAGATAGTGGTGATTATGCCAATACAAAAACTTATTGTATCAAATATTATAAGAATTATTAAAATTTAATCCAAATAGTAATGGTAAAATATAAAGTAATAAGTATTAATAGAAATATAAATTAACTTTAGATATTATTTTGTCTATAATTCAAATATATATATAATATATTTTTTCATACTTTATAAGATTATTTTGTTAATGATTATAAACAAGATAAAATATGATATGAATAGTTTTAATTTATAAACTTATGATTGTTTTTATTATTTAAAAGTATTCAGATCTGAGGTAAAAGTATAGAACAGAAAGAACATATTTATAGCAAAAAAAATGAATACAAAGTACAAATAAATTAATAATAAATTTCTAATTTAAATTACATATAATTTAGCAAAATTAATTAACTTAATTCATATCTCTAGAGAGTAACTAATCATAATTTAATAATTAATAATGTGATAAATAATAATATAAATAATAATTAATAAGAATAAGTAGAAATATAAAAGAATAATTAAAAAGAAATCTAATTAAAAATATTAATTAATTAAATTAATAATATAGGTACATATAATAATTATTTGTGTAATAATATATTAAATCTAATATATTAAATATATAGATAATTATCTATATATTTAGAATAAGATTAATCTTTATAAAAAGTGATATAGAAGCTAATCTGTAATACAGATAATATAAAATAAAAATCTGAGCTAAAAAAAGATAATTTAATTAAAATTATTATATATCTTTCTACTTAAAGTATAATATTTTTATTATATTTAAGTATATAATTTTCAAAGATATTAAACTTTTTCATGATATTTTTCATGTTTTCAAGATGTTCTTATATTATATTATAAAGAGAATAACTGAGCTATTTAACAAGATATTGAGATTTGCAATAGTAAATTCTTTTGTTAAAAGTATTTTTAACTTCATATTCTTTTTCATTATCAGAGATGATAATAACTAGTAATAATTGATATTTATTATATTTATCATTTGAATTATATTTCTTTAGTAATAAAATATAAAATACTAAGTATAATTTTATATGATATAATAATTATAGTTTATAAGTGACAGAAGATATTTTTATAATAATTTCAAAGAATCTAGTATGAATTCTTAATTATTCTTTATCTATTTACTGGAGTATTAATATTATAAATGAAAAAGAAAATTTTATCTCTAATATTGAATTCTTTATATTTTTTATATTAATTTATATATTTATTTTATCTTTCTTATATTTCAAGTAACAAATTTTTGATAGTTTTAATTATGATATTTTAATATTTTATAAAATCTTGTAAAGTTATAATATTATTTTGAGATAACAAAATATTAATTAATATGTGAGATAATTATTTATAATCTAATTCAAAGAGTATATAAGAGAGATGCTATTTATCACATATTTTTTACCATACATACATAATATATATATAGTATATATTAACTATCACATAATACAAAATCATAATATATTATATACTTTTTATTACATATCTAATTATATAATATTAAAAAAGAAAATCAATTGAACTAAAAATTAAATATATCATTATATAATATAATCAATTCTTGACTCTTTATTAGTATTTTTCTTTAAGTATCCTAATTCACAAATTATTACTCAATGTTACTCTGCATCTCATATAGTCTCAGATTTATTTTTTCTAGTCATCTATCATTATAACTATACTCTGCATTCTCAACAACTCTCAAATTTAATGTATTAATTACTGTAATAATTACTAAAACTTCTGTCTCTGACAAAGACTTTTGTTTTCAAGATCAGTCATACTTGATTTGATGCTTATAATACTTGTAACTTATAATAAACTTCAAGATAAAATAATACTTATCATATATATTATAATACAAGTGCTAATATATTTTATTTAAAATAGATAGGCATGAGTGATTATAAAGAGAAATCTTTAGTTTATCAAAGTATTAAAGAGTATGTATTAGATTGATAAAATATCCATTCTTGATCTTGGTAATAGAAGGAAGAAATCTATCATTCTCTTCTAATAAGATAGCAGTATTAGGAGCTCAATATTCATGATAATATTAGCAATTCTTATACTTTTTTAGATCTATTAAGTAGCAATATAACTGAGTATAATTCTTAATCTATTTTTATATTAATTACTCAAGATTGGCAAATAGTTTGGAGTTCTTATCAATATATTACATTATTACAAATTTACTATATATTTTATCTTTCTTCCAAATTTTATATAATCTCTCTCCTGAAAATTCAAAGTTATACTATGTTAATTTTTCATTTACAATATTATCTTGAGAATTTAGATATGTTTTATACTTATTTAAAGATAAAGTAATTCTCATAAGCTTGTCCAAAAGAGAAGTCATACTATATTTTATAGGATTATAAGTACTTTGTTCTAGAGTATATGTTTGGATAGTTAAATAGTTAAGATTCAGAAAATAAAATAGATTACAGTACTTAATAATATTTTTTAAATATTTTGAATTCTCATCAGATCTACTATCAATGAGAAGAATCTATATAGATCTAACTTTATTTTCTCTTAATACAATAGAAGCAAACTGTAGATTGGTAATGAGACTTAGCAAATCTGTCATATAGATTAATAATAATATGTCAGCAAAATATTCTGGTTATATGAAAATAGCAAGTTGGCCAGTTTAAAAAGTATTATTTGAATTAGCAGGATTAATAAAGAGATATATTAAAGATATAAGTTTTATTTTACTTTCTTTAGGAAAATTATGATCTTTAATTATTACAGGTTCATTTATTATTTGAATAATCTTAAATATTTATCCTATTATAGAAATATCTAAGTTAACTTTTGTCTTGTCTAAAGATAGTCCCTCAACTGTTATAATATAATAATAAATAAAGCATCACCTAGTTGCAACTAGTTATGACTTATAAAATTTTGGAGTTGCAACATGTTGCAATAGGTAATAAATAAGCATCACATACTTGCTGTACCATCTTTAGCCTTGTTATCTTGAGAGATAATGATAGAATCACTTGTAAAAAACTCAGTAAAAGCTTATATTACTTTAATAGATATCAAGTAGTAATATTCATTTACATATTATTTTATATTAGTTTTTACTACTAATGCAAGACTAACTTTTACAGGATAATGGTAATGATGAGTGGTAAAAGTATATTTATATTACAGTTTTAAATATGTAAATAAATACTGGTATAAGAGATAAATATTATATTTTTCTTTTAATACTTCATATAGATATTTGATTATATGAACTTTAATTATTATTTTTCTTTTTTTACATGAGTAGCTCTAAACTTAATATAATTATAAATATTATCTCATAGTTCTGAATATGAAATCACTGCTAGTAGACATCCAGATTTATCATATTCTTTGATAATACTTTCTTCTTCAAGTCTTTTTTGTTTTTTTGCTCTAAGTCTTGCTTAAGCTTTTCTAGTTTTACTTTGCTTTCATTGATAATTTTCTTTTTTTCTTTAATTTTAGTTATTAGTACTTGTCTTAAATTATTATCAGATATCTATATATATGATCATTCATACTTATACAATTGTTAACTTGCTTCTTTGATCTTGGCAATAATATTATTTTATTTGATTATATTTTTAGCAATGATATTTATCTTATTAGATATCTATGAGAAAGTTTCTATTATACTAGATGTAGATGCTAATATAAAAGAATTTGTAATAGGTACTGAAACTACAAAACTCTAATAAAACTGAATTATATAAGATAAGATAACAAAATATATTTTAATTTATTCCTAAATAATAGCTTTATCTTGATTTTTGATTTGTTTTTATATAGCTCATGCTTCTCTCAATAATTCTTGATAATTTAGACTGGTATTAGAGTATATTACTTATTTATAGTATATATAGGTATTTGAAAATTCTTGATATAAGTTGGTAGATTTTTTATAAAAGAAATTTTTGTTAAAATTAGGACTTATTAAAAAGCTTTGTATTTTATTGAAGTTTAAAATATATAAGATGCATATCTAATATTAAAGATTATTAATATGAATTTACATCATATTATTATTTGGTAAAATAGATATGAAGAATCTATCAAGTAATTTATGATACTATATAATCATGAGTTATTTCTTAATTAGTTTTTTATTAATTAATTTATAATTTTATCAATCAATATTAGATTCTTCAAGTTATAATACTAGTTCCTGTCTAAAAAGATAATTTATTAATTACAATGTTATAATTTAATTATTTAGTATTCATAATTTTAGGATAGACTACTTTATTAATAGAGAATATAAAAACTAAAAATGACTTCTCAACTGTTGTAACATGATAATAAATAAAGTATCACCTAGTTGCAACTAGTTGTGACTTATAAAATTTTGAAGTTATAACATATTATAATAGGTGACAAATAAGTATCACATACTTGCTATATTATCTTTAGTAAAGATAGATCAATAATAATTCAAAGAAATATATGTATTTATTTAAGAATAATAATAATTTTTATTTTATTTAATAAAAACTTTATTATAATAATGAATTATTTGATAGTTATTTCTTAATTATAATTTTTATCTCACTTCTATTTTAAAGCTCTCCTTATTTATAATCAAA